GCTACTCTCAGTGAAATTGTCAATTATCTGTTCAGAACACAATGTTATACAATACGTCATTTGATAGATGAAAACCTTGAATTTCTATTGGTTATAGGTAATATATAAGGAAACGTAAGAGAGAACTATCAACAAATTGTGAAAGAGAGGATGTGACAAGTGGGTGTGGCAGGAGAGGTCTGATTTTCTATTTGATAGCTCTGTAACCAAACAAAATTGAAGGCTATATAAGTTATGGTTTGTCTGAGCAATGACAATTTTATTGAGAGTATTTTATGTTTAATTTCGTACATTTTTGAGGGGGTGATGGATAAAATAGGGATGATGACATGCTAAGACACAATGTGTCATGTGGGTCACACTAGTGGAAATTCAGGATTTTTTTTGTATATTTCCTTGCAGAATTAAGAACTTAAAATTTGTATACTATTAAAATATGGATTATTAGCTTATATTTTATTCTATTATAATTGGTATAACATAAACATAAATACTTTGATAAAATTTTTAATGTAAGACACTAAAACCTTGTGTCATGCTCAGTAAATGGTTCCTGGGAGCGATAGGGTTAATGGAATGAAGAAAACCTACTGTTATAATTTTGAAATTCCAATGGAACCTCTTGTATATGGAATATAAATTATAACAGATAATTGAATACTTTAGACATGAAGTAAAGATAGCTTATTTACTGATGCTTTTCTTATTGAAGACAGTTATTATGTGGAATGCTTGAAAATGGATCCAAATACAGAACTGTAACAAAATGCAAAAAAAATATGTTACAAAATCAATTGCAAAAAAAAAACTGAGATTATGGTATCCTTAAACATAAATAGATTAATGTTTACTCTTCAAAACGGTTTTTAAAATGGAAATATGTACTTAATGAGACTAGAATTAAACTTCTACATGTTAAATAAATCTCCAGTGGATTTAACTTTATTCAAATAAACAACTACAAGTATATATTTGTGTCAGTTAATAAAGCTAATTGTATCATCTATCCTTCACATTTACTAATCGAAAGCACCATAATTTCTGGCTCTGCAACTTTAAAATAGTTAAGGGTGGTATTGATATATTTGATAAAAGGAGGAATTTTTCATTTCAAATGTACAGCCTATTCTCTATTCATTTTTTGATTTTTAGAATTAATATGAATTTCAAACAGTTAGTTACTCTGAACTATTGAAAGTATTTTCTTCTTGAGTTTGAATTCATGCTGTCAACAAAGCCTGTAAATTCAAAATTTGCAAGTGTCATTTACACATTGCAGAGCATGTGTCACTCACCTATGATTCACTATTTCCCAACTTCCATACTTTGCAAACATCAGAAAGATGTTACACAAGCTCTGCTTTACCATCATAATTTTGGTTTTATTGATATTTGCAATCATAATGAAAATTTGGTTGTGGTGAGGCCAGAAGAAAGGTATTTCATAAATAAGTATTTGTTTGAAATTCATTTTAACTCTTAAACATGTAAAATTAAATCAGGTTGAAAGTACCTCTTAAATACAGTAAACAAGAATACCCATATTATAAAAGAGAAAGGAACAGCATAATATAAAACTACAAGCTAAGGGCAGAAAAATAATAATATATACCATAAGAAATATGTAGCCAAGCAGTGAGAGTAAAAGCTAGAACCAGAAAATAACTAGTTTCTCTGATTTCAGACTTCTAACAACATTTTTCAAGGGTAACTTTTATGTTCTAAAGTTTGATGAATAACTTAAGGAACTTAAAAATTGTTTGTACTTCAAATAATTACAAGTTATGAAGTGAAATTTTGTTTTACTTGGATGAAATGTGCAAAATTACTAATTTTCAGTCTATGTTTAATTATATCAATCAATAACTACATAATGTGTTCAAAATTATAACTAGAAATTATTCTAGCCAAGACCCATAATTTAGACACATCAAGATGATGTAGATTATTTTTGCTATTTCCTCTACATTTTTTTTTGTATTTTAACTATGAAAATTATCCAAACAGAAAAAATTATAAATACAATTATCATCAGTTAGGTTCAAAGCAGTAGTATTGTTAACATCTTGAAATATATCATAAGTATGTAATGTTTTTAATTTCAGAATATAAAAGTTTTCACAATGCAGTTGATATAATTTTGTTTTGACAATTTCCAAAATTGTTATAATTACATAAACAAAATAATGATTTCAAACTATCACTACACAGTGTCCAGACTGGAAACAGTGACTGTAACACAGCCATCACAATACATGCACTTCCTATATATATATATATAGTGAGATTCCTTTTACACTCATACCTGAGGGAAAAGCATTGTACTGTGGCAACATAGGCTTTAATGGCTTATATTTTAACCTTAAGCATCAAGATATAGGAGGCTTTGTTTTCTTCCACCTGGATGGTAAATTTGATGTTATGAGTTTAAGTGATTTAAAATGTTATTAATCAGTTCTTTACTATGTGACCAAATTACATAGAAATTTTGCACATAGCATTTCAAAATTTTTCTCTTCTTGGTGGCTTTTTTTGTGGCTGAGTTTTCAAATTTTTTTCATATTGAGGTAACTGAGTATTAAGACCTCCCAAGATATATGGACTCACTAAGATCCACAAAATATACATGCCATTCTGCCCTGTTGTTGGTGCTATTTCATTATCATGCCATAGCATCGCCAAATTCCCCTTTCCTCTTCTTTCACCATTAAGAAATGACATAGCTGAGTCAATAACAAAGATGAAATGGTATGTGGACCAAAAAAAGTCTACAAAGTCAACCCAGTGATCTGCTAACTAGTTTGATATTCAGGACATTTTTACTAACTTTCCAGTACTGGAGTTCTTAACTATAGTCTGACTACAAACAGATGAAACCTTACTGTAGCAAAGTAAGCTTTCCATGGACACAGTTATGAAACTAGTTACTCTATGTAGCAATGTAGCCTACTTACAACCTCAAGAATAAAACTTCTTAAATGTATCCATTCACATTCTGAAAAATGAAGATGGATTCCTGTCTGTTCAATAGAGCTAATGAAGTTTTCAGAAGCAAATGCTTACCTAAAATATTAAAGCACCTCCAAACTGTCTTTGAAGCTAATAGGTATCTAAAAATCATGAAATGCACAAGCACAGACAAGAGCACAAGAAAACAGAAGCAGAACATAAAAAATATTTCCAAAAATAAGTTAAAACATCAAGAAAATATGCAAGAAGTGTCAAGTTCAAGTCTTCCTCAGATTGAAACTGACAAAAGTAAACTACTTCCAGACTGCTTGATATCAAAAAGGATGTGAATTCACTAATTGAAAATTAGCCATCTTTTTTGCAGAGAATATATTCCAAAACATACTTACCAGATTTCACACTCTTATAGCTATTACTCAGCTACCAGGGTTTCTTCCTTTGCCCATCTAAGCATTGGTATGATTTTTTTTCTTTTTTTTTTTGTTATGGGGGTCGCCATCAGCAGATGATATGCCCCCAAATTCCCTGACCTGATTTAGTTGAAATATATACTGCCATTTAACAAGAAGTTAGTAGTTACATATACTTTTTTTTATTTTTTTGTTTTTTTTAAATATTATTATTTTTTTTGTGTAGTTAATTGTTTGACACTAAAATTCCTAAAATGTCACATTACTGGGATAAAACACAAGGAAAAGTTTACATAGTTAGTTCTTCTCGACTGGGGGTGACTCCAGCCATTGGAAACAAGGATAAAGGAAGTAGCCCTATTAGTAAATAGAAAGGACATTAAATTTTTATGTTATTATTTCTAATAACGAAGTTATATATTGCAGGATAGAGACAATTCGTAGTTAATAGAGAGTGGTAAGTAAAAGGGACGTTTATGTTACCCATCTGTTGTTTTATGGCTGCTCGATCTCTTTGATAATATGTACATTTCATTAAAACATGTTCGAGATCTTCAAAATTTGAACAATGGGACCAAATTAAATAAGAACCACAGCCGCATTTGTACATCAGCAAGTAAAACACTGAGCCAATAGAACAGAATATTTAAATTACGATATTAGATATATAAACTAGTAACAAAATAACATCCAGTCTAGACACACAGACATTTATGGAATTAAACATATCTAACATTGTTTTATTTGAGTTCTTAATTTTTTGTAAAGTGTAAAATGCAAGGGAGAGTTAAATGAGACGGTCCACTTTGGTAACACGTCCACCCCTGTGTATAAATAGTTTGACATTTTGCAATCTAGAGTGACTTATCATTCACTGTTCATAAATATACTGGTGGACAGGCGCAAGTGTGGATAATCCAAGTACAACTTCAGTTTTTGTTTTTAGATGACTTTGATCTATGGTGAGGACCTTTAATTTTTAATGTTTACAAATTAGATATTTCAGTCAATTTCACCCTTCTTAATTTCAAACAGGAATTGTAAAGAACCAAATATGCCGTAAAAGAAACACAATTCAAGTCCATTGATATTTTATAAAATGCATTGCTTTAGGATGAGTTGCTTAGGGTAAGACGTCCCCCCTTGTGGTCCACACCAATGATTCATATTTCCGCCATAGCCTTCGTTGGCAATGTACTACTTTGCTCCACACTAGACGCGAACGTTGCGAGTGACGTCGCGAAATGTTTTCGGTCGGTCAGTATCGGGCTTTAAATCTGGAAGAGTCAGGTTCAATCTAGACCTCTTCGAAAATCATTCTCAGCATCGAAGTTGACTGAAAGCTAGAGTATGGCACGTACAAAGCAAACTGAAAGAAAATCCACGGGCGGAAAAGCACCAAGAAAACAACTGGCTACTAAAGCTGCTTGAAAGAGTATTCCAGCCACAGGTGGTATAAAGAACCATCATCGTTACAGACCTGGAACTATAGCCCTCTTTGAAATATGTCGTTACCAAAAGTCAAATGAGCTGCTCATAAGCAAACTCCCTTTCCAGAGACTCGTGGGAGAAATCGTTCAGGGCTTCAAGACCGACCTAAGATTCCAGAGCTCTGCTGTCATGGCTTTTCAAGAGGCCAGTGTGGCCTACTTGATGGGTCTCTTCGAAGACACAAACTTGTGTGATATGTACGCAAAGAAAGGGACCATCATGCCCAAAGACATCCAGATCGTCTGCCGAATCCGAGGGTAACAAGTCTAAATGGAGAAAGTAGGTACTGTTTCTTACTGTCTTCATTAAACAAACGGCCATTTTTGCCGAATGTCAATCCATACCAAACTAGAATTGGAAACATTCCAAAATACTGGAAATAAGCACGTGGCCCTGTTCAAGCGTTCCTATTGGACGTACTGGAGATGGACTGTTATGTTTTGATAACAAAGCACTGATCTTCGCAAGAAACTAATATATTAAAGTAATTATATATATATATACACGGTCCTACTACAAGCTCGACATATTTCTGTGCGTATTCTTTCTTTCATTCTTTCTGTTTGTTAACTTTTAAAGTGCAACATTATTAGTATTATTACGTTGTTGTTGTTAAGCTCTACATGATCACCATCTTTGGTATTATTATTATAGTACGGCTTGTTTTAATTAGTTTCCTTTGTGTTGCGTCTCCCAGTGGCCCAGCGTCATATCTGCGGACTTAAAACGCTAAAACCTGGGTTTCGATACCCATTGTGTAGTTTTGTGCTAAACTGCAAACAAACAAACCTTCGCGTCGTGCGACGAAAAAACATATAGAAACAGGTTCTATTTTAGCAAAGCGAAAATTTATCAAAACCACGTCGCGCGTTGCTGGTGTGAATACTTATATTCGACTGCAATACTTCTAAGTTATTTGTTCGCGTTGCTCTCGTCCAGTATGGATGAGCTGTAAATTAATAAGGTTAAGTGTGCATTGTGAGGAAGGTAAAAGGCTTCCATCTTTTACAGGATTTGAGCCATAAAGTAAGGTGAGTTAGTGAAATCTTCGTGAATTTGTGCGTAAGTCGGGGCACTTCGTGTTGTGTCACTATGCAAGATTGCGTTTGACAGTGTGGTTATATGTACCAGTGTTCCTGAAGTGCAGTGAAGAAGCTTTAAAACAACACGAAAAATTAACGTAGATTGTGAAATGTATATTATTATGCTAACTTTTCGTATTAATTATTTATCTAAGTAGCAGGAATTTTCATTACCCTCAGACGGAGGTTACTAGGATAAACATGACGATCCATGGTTATTGCTAGGTTATGATGGTAAGATAAATTTTTGTATAGTCTATTCTGCATTTACTACATTCGTGTAGATACGTGTATTTTACAACTGACGACACTCAATGGTTGTCTATAGCGATACGGGGTTTTATTCTTATTTCTGCCCATAATTACTATAACTTTCGTGAGGTCGATCGAGTTGAGTGACTCTTTAGGTGACGCGACTGATAGTGAATGGTGATATTGATTCTACTTGAGTACTTTTCATATGAAACCAAATTAGCTGGTGAATAATAACGTTGTGCACTGCATGTAATCGCTGGTTATTATACATATAATAATAGATATGTATGTGCGACATATAATCGTGTTTTCCATAATTTATTGTAGCCAGTTTTTGCATATTTAAGTATGTAGAAAAATGCGATATACATATGTGACAACAACTTTTCTGGCCATTGAAGAATTACACTTTTCGTTCGAAATGAAAGAAAACATAGTGTGCCTACTATTTTCGAGTACTTTAGATTTCAAACGGGGTTTATATGATCGAACAATTTCCGAATTTTAGGGGGAGTTTTCTGGAACTTTTATCTTGATATTACATCTGAGAAGGTAGTCGTAATTCACGAACTTTGTGTTAACTACATTTAAAAGCAGTGTTAAAAATAATTTGTGTGTGGACTACAGAAATATAATTGGATTGATTTGTAAAATCTAAGAAGTGATTTCACTTATTTATTCAGGTTATGTTTAATTTGTTTCATGGGGGTTCCAGTTGTGGTCATGCACACGTTGGTAAGGTTAGAAGCCTTGATCACTACTTGTAAAGTAGTTGACTTAAATTTAATTTCCACTGCAATATTACCTAATCCTCATTGGATCCGGGCTTATAGCCTTAGTTTATCAATTGAAACATGTCAGCTAACAACCTATAACCTTTTAATAAATTTTATCCCGTAATGCATACTTCCGGGGTACAAATTTTTTCTCAGTCCCACAGGGCTGTTTAAGCCGGCAAAAAAGATAATTGTCTTACCTTTTTTTGCATTGATTCTTTCATAACGTAATGTAGATAAATCCGGGGTTTTCCTGAACCTACTGAAATTCTACTGGATGTAGGATCTGTTGAATTTATTCAATGTATCGATGATGCTAATTTAGGTAGTACTTTTGTTCTTGAAACTGAAAAACGTTACGAATCTTTTTAGAAAGGTTGGGTATTAAGGCCTGTTCAAAGAGAAACTAATAGAAAAAGCATATTCATCGTTATATAGATGATGTGAAACAAATGTATTGTTACGACAGCGGTGGTCACGTGACGCTAGTAACACGTCATGCGCTTCTCGAATGTTCACGTCTCTTCCTGAAATCTCAAGAGCCTACTATATATGCGATAATATATTGTTTGTCTTGTATATATAAACCGGTAAGAACTGACGGCAACAAGGTAATGGGTAATTGACAGTTGAGTCGAGCACGTGAGACGTTCGGTGTGAATTATAGCGTTTGTTATAGCGCGACTGTGGAAATTAAGTGTATTGCAAAGTTGTATTTAGAAAGAATAAACCAGTTTTATTAAAGAAACGACTTGTATCGCTAAACTTTCTTCAGAAAGAAATTATACGGAAAATTAACTAACGACCAGAGACGTAACAATATGATGATGGAAATGTGAGTGATAGAAAAAAGGGTCCTGGTCGCATGCTTGAGAAGTTGAAAATGAAATACTTCTCTGCATTGGATCTACCATCTGAGAGCGAGATTCGTTCGGCAATCAGCGCCTTGATTGACAAAGAAAAATAGCAGCAAATGGCCAAATTTCAACTCGTATATGTTTTCCAGATGTGCTTTTAAATATCATCAATGAAAACATTGCAACAAAGGCATGCTATGCAGCGGTCCTGGAAAGATATGAGATGATAAAGGAGGCAAACCCCATCGAAGAGTTCCCTGATGAGAAGAAAATGATAAAAAAAAGAATCTGCCAAAAAGAAAAAGGAAAGGCAAGCAGCTGAAGGAGGGGCAAGGAAATGTTTCATTATGAATTCTGTATTTGTTCGAAGGTCAACATAAGTATTTATCCAAAAAAAAACAACAAAATACGTAAAAGAATTGTCATTTATTTGCATAACAGAAAAAAGGAAAACGCAAAAGAACAAGAAAATATAGAGAAAAACGGACTTGGAAAAGAGTGCACTGTTCCGGAAAATGTAGCTGAAATTGCAGTTTTCAAACGATCATAAAATCGCAAGTATTTATGCTTAAAAAACACCCTTCAAATGCCCTACTTCTGAGTTTTCAAATTCCACAGTTAACGTTCCACAGGAATCAGCAATATATCAGGAAATTTTGCCACTCCGAGGTATGCATTACGTATCATGCATTAGAACATTTTCAGATTTCACATGTGTATTTTTGTATGGGTTAGTTCGATACGACCGACTTCGTAACCTCAATAAAAAATTAGAAAAATATATAAATTATACTTTTTTCGTTCTAGAATGACTGCAAATTATAACCTTATATATTTATTATTTATATGATATTGACCTTCCAGCCATTCCTGGCTAACAATATAGGTTAGAATGACGCGGCGCATGTGCACTCATGTTAGCCTATCCAATAATATATAACTAACCTTTAGTCTTAACAAAGTGACCTGTCTTGGCTGTGTTATAGTGGACTAGTATTTTGTAAAATACAGTCACATTTCAATTATTATATATTAGGCCCCCAGTATGTCTGCGGACTTACAACGCTAGAATCCGGGTTTCGATACCCGTGTTGGGCAGAGCACAGATAGCCCTTTGTGTAGCTTTGTGCTTAATTACAAACAAATTATATATGTATAAACATTATTTCTGTTTAGAAATAAGCTCTTACACTTATTTTTCTTAAAACATAGAACAGTAAATAAAGAAGTAAAGCAAACAATTATCTCTTGTAGTTATGACTTTTGTACTCGTTTGCTGCTTTTGAAATTTCCCATGTGGAGGATGTGAAAAGACATTTTTTTAGGTTTTATATATACATTTTAAGTAACCAAAAAAGATCATAAGTTACTATATCAATACCATAGAATTCCACTATAACTTATCAAATGTAGTAACTAAGCTGTATTTGGGCCTAAAAATATGAAATTTCGAGCTCACTAAAGACTTACCTCATCATTTGAAATCTTCTTTGAAAAGAAAGAAATTAGCACAATAACACGTCAAAATGAGAAACCACTAGGAGGACATTCTGATCTTTCATTTTGTTATTCTTGTCATATATAGAAGTAAGTGTATATAAAGGACCGTTTCCAAAAATGGAAAGAGGTGGGCTGAGTGCCACTATGTTTGATTCAGTACATGAGCGATATCTTAGCAAATAGAAAATATAAGACGTTCATATTTTATATTCTAGCTTGTCAATATCGGTAGTTTGAGTTCCCAAGTCGTACTAAACTGTAGATTTTGTATTTTGGCATCACAAACGTCTAATTTGAACCAGTGCTGCATTCAACATACTACATGACACATAAAAATCGATGTTTAGCTGTGTTTTTTAAATATTTACTTTTAAATTAAGAAATTAACTAAAGTTTAATATTAATATTTGAATTATAATTTATAATTTTATATCAAACTTATTGACGTAAATTCATAAAATAGTAGTTAAATAATATTTTGAATGCAAGTCAACAAACGCGATAACATGGCCTTTGACACGTGATCCGTCGAGATAGGGTTAATAGAATGCCTTTTATCTTATGTAATGCCCCTTTAACATTCCAGAGGTTAATGAATGTTGTATTATCAGGCTTGCAAGATCCAGAATATTTTTGTTATTTAGATGATGTTATAGTGTTTGCTGCAAGCTCTGAAGAACATTTAGAAAGGTTAAGGCATGTATCTGACAGATTACGGAGGGCAAACTTAAAGCTTAAACCAAGTAATTGTCAGTGTAAAAAAAAAAATGAGGTAGAATACTTAGGTCATTTGGTGACTGTAGATGGTGTAAAACCTGATCCTAAAAAATTAGAGGTTTGTAAGAATTATCCAGTGCCTAAAATAGTAAAAGACGTTCGAGCATTTTTAAGATTTTATAGAAAGTTTATACCACATTTTGCACTGCTGGCAAAACCCTTAACTGAGCTAACTAAGAAAGAAATAACATTTCAGTGGACAGCTAAAAGACGGGAAGCATTCGAGAAACTAAGAGAAGCTTTATTAAAAGCAACAATTTCAAGCTATCCAGATTTCAGTAAGGAGTTTATCTTAAGCACAAATGCTTCAGGTTTCGCTATAGGTGCATTATTATCACAGTTAAATGAAAATGGAAAGGAACACCCTATAGCTTGTCAGAGTAGACAGTGAGGAAAAGCTGAAATAAATTATTCTGTTACAGAACAGGAATGCTTAGCTGTAGTGCATGGAATAAAAACTTTCCGTTGTTATCTGTATGGTAGAAAATTCACTATCATTACAGATCATGCACCATTAAGATGGTTAATGACATTAAAAGACTCTTCCTCTAGGTTAGCGAGACGGTCATTATTGTTACAGGATTATGATTTTGAAATAGTACATAGACCAGGTAGAAAACATTCTAATGTCGATGCTCTGAGAAAATTAAAATAGGAAACGCAGAAACTGTAGAAAAACAGACAGTTAATAATGTAAGTAAAAACTAAAAATGAAGATAATTTAAAAGTAATTTGGGATGTAGATCATGCGATCAGTGAACAAAAGAAAGATCCGGTATTAAATACCTTACGAAACAAAGTATTACAAGGAGAAGATACAGAGAACACGTTAGATTCAAATATCTTATGTAAAAGGGTTAAGAATAACAGGTCGTTACAAATAGTTGTACCACATAACTTAAAAACTAAAGTTATGAAAACATATCACGACCCACCATCCGCAGCACACCTAGCTTTTGCTAAAATATACAGTATGATAAGTAAGAGATTCTTTGGGCTAAACACGAGGAAAGATATTAAAGATTATTGTGACTCGTACCTAGAATGTCAAAACGAAAAACGAGTCCACACTTTAAGAACGCTCCCTTGCAAAGAATGCCGAATCTAACAACACCTTTTCAGCTATTGACTATGGATATATTATTGTGAGTTATTAGGTGTAAACAAAATTGAGACTACAGCTGTTATGGTTTATTAGAAACGTTCAATACAACTTTGTTGAACATGATCTCTCAATACTGCGAGAAAGATAATAAAACTTGGGATAAGAGGATTCCTTTTTTATTATTAGCTTACAGAAGTGCTGAAAATGAGTCTACTCACGAAAGTCCATTCTTTCTATTACATGGTAGAGACGTTATGTTACCTTTGCAGGAGATATTAGCTGCTAGAAAAGTTATGCAGTATATTATGATTATAAGGCAGAACAATTACAGAGAATGCAGTTGGTATTCGAATTAGCTAACGAACATTTAACTAAAGCTGCTGAAAGTAGAGAGAAGCAAATAAATAAGAAGGCACAAGTTAGTGACATAATGTTAGGGGACAAAGTATTGTTGCGTCAGCGAGGTCACGTGACTAGTGTCACGCCACGTTTCTAGAACTATCTTGTTCCTTCGTGAATGCCCTAGCATTTACTAGATATGTGTTTGTCTGGTATATATATATAAGACGCTCACAACGTGACAACAATGTGTGTGTGAGTAATTGAACTGCAGTCAGAAAGTATTGTTGAAGTTAACGTTCGTTGATATAGCGTTTGTTATAGAGCGACTGTTGAAAATAAGTGTATCGTAAAGTTGTATTCGGAAAGAATAAACCAGTTTTATTAAGAAAGGACTTGTGTCGCTAAAGTTTCGTCGGAACGAAGTTACGAAAAATCAATTAACGAACGGAGACGTAACAGTATTGTTATACACCCAAATTGTTAAGAAAGGAAACACTAAAAGTTGGCAAGGTTATGGAAAGGTCTATTTAGAGTCCTTAAGTAAACTAGTCCAGTTAAATTTGAGATCCAAGAAATCCATGGAAAAGGTAAACAGCTAGTACATGTTAATAAGTTAATAGGTTACAAACATTATCAATATGAATGTGAAGCAGAGGAAACTAAGGAATAGAAACAAGATAAGAGTATTCTTGAAGAGACTGATAACTTATGTGACTTTGATTTGTCTTATGACTTTGAGGAAGAAATACTCGAACCAGAAACTCCAAGGTTAGAAGAAGAAGAAAGTGTTGTACTAGGTGATGAAGTAATAAGAACAGAAGATATCCTGGTTAGTAATGGCAATAGTGAAGATAGTGCTCCAATAACTGAGGATAATACCCCTAGTACCCCAGTGACAACACAAGCTAATATAGTGGCCCATGACTATAACCTTAGATCACACTGTCCTATATCAATTCAGCCAGAAGTGGCTCTTACAACTAGGATGGTATGAGTGAAATTTGATCCTCAAGTAGTTGTACACAAACATAAAAGTGATGTACGTACAGTTAATACTGTATCTCGTGAAGCCAGTGTAATTGATGCTTTCAATAACACGACAGGCTATTTACGAAGTTGTAAACAATCTAAATAGGATATGATATATATAGTCGATGTATGTTGCATGTATTGTACTAAGTATTATAATTATTTGTATTATTAGTAGATGTATCTATAAGTTTACCGGGATTCTTATGTTACTAATGGTAGAGATCGGGAATGGACGACAAAATGTAAATATTGTTCCAGTGGGGCCTCCCAGTGGCACAGCGGTATGTCTGCAGACTTACAATGCTAGAATCTGGGTTTCGATACCCGTGGTGGGCAGATCACAGATAGCCCACTGTGTTGCTTTGTGCTTAACATCAAACAATCAATCAATGTTTCGGTGGAAAACAAGGTAGGTATGGTGTTTGTTGAAGAAGGTAATTTTATATTATCTGGAGATAAATGGATAATTGTTGAAGTTCAGTTATTAGTAAGTTTACAAACAGAGCTAATAACATTCGAGAATTCATTAGCTTTGTAGAAAGTTCGAAATATAGGACATTACATCACATGAGACATCAGGGAACAGCTATCTTATATTTAGCAAGAATCTTACAAGAAGGACTAATTCAAAACTATAAAACATTAATTAGACAATATCATGACGAGATAGATGAATTGTTATTAGAATTAAAATATATTAAAGATAGCGTATCAATATAAGACAGAACTCGACAGAAACGAGATTTAATAAATGCGAGTGGAAGCGTTTTGAAATCCTTATTTGGAACCACACCCACCTACGATTTACGAGAATTAAATTATAAGGTAGAACGACAGAGACATTTATCTAAACTAGTACAATCATTGTATGTAGCTGCAGATAGAAAGTTGAGTTCATACTTTCTACCTCTGATCAAGTTAGAAAGAGCTTAGATGAAATCGAAAGGAAATTACCTCCACATTTACAGTTTGTGATTCCTGCTCATAATGATCAGATTTACATGTATTATACATGGGCTGACGTAAAGACAGCTGTAATCAGGGATATTTTAAGGATGTTTATAGAGATACCCTTAAAGGCATTTTAACTTGTAATTATGTTATATTTGCAGGAATTAAAAACAGAATAACTGAATTATGTGAGAAAATAATAATTATTCCTAAATCATTATATTTTTATAAGACCAGGACCCCAGGAACTTGGTTATTTAATGTTAAGGATGAACTTTATCAGTAATATGTGCAAAATTAAATGTACATCAATTTAATTATCACACTAGAGTAGCTAAATTAAGAGTTAGTGGTTACCTAAGATTAGCCAGAAATTGTTCAGCTCATGGTCAAGGTATTACCTTGCCCTCTAGTTTTAGAAGTGAAACAAAATACATAGGAGCTCAATTAAATATAAAGATCCCAGAATTACAGGAACTATTAATTAAGAAAGAATCACAATTAAATCAGAGTATAAATGTAGAAGCAGACATTAAGGAATTAAAAGACATATTAGAAGAAACTAGACATCTACCTCCTAGACAGTCAGGATTAAGTATTAAGTAATTTCAACAGCATGTAGATTGTTTATGAACTACAGCTGAAGAACAGGGGTTAGATAAATGGAAATTGTCTAATTCAGTGTTGGTGACCTTATGCTTAGTAGTTGTATTAGTAAGCATAACATTATATATTAAACGAGACAAATTGGCTTTAACAAAGTTACTGACATTAGATGAGCTGTGTAGATCTAAACGAAATAAGAGAACAAAGCCAGGCAATGAAAGATTGTCTTACTCCCAGGGTACCCAAGTAGTCGAGCTGAATGAATAGGCCCCATCTAATCAGGACATAAACTGATTGTATAGTTGGTCACAAAATTGAATTGGTCTAACCAGTTGATAAGGTTAGCTGTTTGTTAAGTCAAAATAATAGACAAAATTGATAGGCAAAATTAATAGGTATAGTAAAAGCTTGAGAAACAATGAAGCTAGTAGTCGAAGACAACAACTGAGAAATGATACTGATAACACAGCAACAGACCAAAATCACCTATCAACAACAGTGTGACTGAAGTAAAGTGAAGCGTGCGAGTTAAGTGCACAACTTAACAGAGACAGAATGTGGCATGTACAAAATTGATGAAACAAGACTTGTGATAGTGTGACAGTGTTAGAAGAAATTAGTTAGTAATTATATAATGTGATTACAGGAAGAGAGAACAAAGTCAGCCATAGTGAGATTGAATGTTTTAGACTAGGTAAAACATACATTATCAAAGAACTAGCAGTGAGGGACTCTTACATGGGATGGATTGACACATATTGTTTCATACCCCATACCAAGAAAGCATAGTGAACAAAGAGGATCATCAACAGGTCAACTGGTGGACAACCTATCTCCACGGAATCAGATGGTCAGACAGAGAGCGCACTTGGGGATACTTGATCTACCTATGTCAGGACTTACAAGAGTGATATACCAAGATTTATGCAAAAGGGAAGGAAAAAGCAGGAATATTAACAGATTGGGTTAGTTCCCTTAAATTAACTTGGAAGACTATGGTTGTCCCCTGTACAGACAATTGGACTTCCCAGGTTCCAATAGTGTCCTTTGTGCATATCATCATTACCTTCAGGAACACTGTACCACTTGGAAAACCTATGCCCTGTACGAATGGATATTGAATAGTAAGCGACGGATTTTCAACACATTGAAACAGAATTTTGAAGACAATATACCTATGAATTATTCTTATATATGAGTGTTAGATTAATCAATTAAGATATCATGTTTTTGAAATATATACTATATGAGTATAATTTTCATGATCTAATAATATAATACATTAATCAGTGTCAAGCATTGTATCTTATTAGAATATTATGAATATATTAATCTAGTGTTACTCCTGTGGTTTATTGTTATAGTAGTTGGTTATATTGATTTAGAAAAGAAATGTTATTGTAAATATTGATTGACAAAGAGAGAGATAGAAACAGTAATGTTGGTTGGTGGAAATTTTTACGAGAAAAAATTTCATAAGGAGGGAGGAGTGAAGAAATTGGATATTTTTGAGGGAATTTTACAATTGCTTCAGTCTTTAATGTTTAAGAAAGAAACTTAAGTTTCTGATTGTGGTGTATATTGTGAAGAAATGTGTAAGAAAAGGACAATTGTATTACAAAATTGGGTCAAGAACTAAGTAAAGCACAATTAGCTGGTTATTTAGTATTGAGAATCACGAGTTAAGAGTTATATAAAAATAAAGCTACAGTGAGAATGCTGAGAAAAATGCTAGTCACGAGTTTGACAGTGATAAGTTACCAACACCAAGTTAGTAGCGCAGCAAAGGCTACTAAAAAGTTTATGATAGCATCTCAAATCGGCACTTTGATGTAAGATTCGTTACTTCAGCCTGGTGTAGTAGTATAAGTGAGAAGGCAACCAAAGCACTCACCATCACAGTAACCAATTACTTGAAAGTTTTGGTTCTTGTCTTGGAAATGCCTGATGAGTTGCAGAAATTAGCCAATAAAGTGTCAGGACTACTATTTGGAAAATCAAAAGGATACAAAGAAAATACAGTATAAAAACCCGTATCTGGAGCTAAAAATCAAGTTCTTTCCAGGACGAATTAGGTTTCCCAAGATGAATCGAGATCTCTAAGTCAACATGAATATATAGATTTCCAACCTCCAAAGGTATACCAGTCCAACCTTGTTGTAAGTATAGAAGTGCTATCTTTCTCATTTACTTAATGTAGTTTAATAAAGGAAGTTAACGCTTATAATATAGAGAAATATTTATATGTATTGGTTAACAGTGATTAACTGAAAAGAGAAAGTTAGAATTGTTAAGAAACTAACAGTTTAATAAATGTTTAACTGCTGATATTAAAAGGTGTATGCTATGGGGAAAGACCTAATAAATGTTGATGTATTTTGTTCAATGCTTGTCTCAGAATCCGTTTCTTTAGTCTAACTGTAAATCACCCCGAATTAGTGACTTGTGAGCTCCACTCACCACTGCAATCCTCAGCTAATTAAATTAAAGTTGACACTCCAATGACTAGCTCTAAGGGCACTGCCCATTACATAACTGATTCATCACATTTTGAACATACACTATGTTATGTACATTATGGTTGTAGATGTATTAATTGATAGCATGCAGTTGTAAGCAATGTAGATTATTAGCTATGGTCAATTGTTTGCGTGATGATGTATTACTGCATTTGCAAAGCACTGATTTATTTGGGGTGTGCATGGCACTATTGTTGGAAGGTGCTTGGGTTGGGACTTCCTAGCCTGTAGTTTAAACTGTTTAATTTGCTGCTGTCTGTATCAGTAGCATTATCCCAGTTTTATTGGCCACTGTCTTATGAGTGTCAAAAGCCACTTCGAAAATTGTATTGAAGAACCTGATGGAGCAATAGGTAATTTGTCTGATCATAACATTCCCGAAATTGAGAAAAAAGTGTATTAGTTTAGGGGTTAAAATTTTCAATATTACCTAAGAAAATATATTTCTATTCTTGCTTAAGCTTTGAGAAATTTCTAAAAAGGTTGAAAGAAATATCTACATATAATAAGAATGCTGGAAGGTTTGGCTTTAAAAACTTATTATTGACATAAATAGAAAATAAATATATTTGTTGATGAAATTAAAGCAATTAAGCATTTAAATCAACAAAAACTAAGTTATACTTAAAACATATAAAGATAATGGTATTATAACTTTAAACACAAAATATCATAAGAATTAATTATGAGAAGAGGTAGCAGATAAGTCCAAGTTTCAAGAATTAGATTATGATCTCATCAAACAAAATAAAGGTTAGTTACAGAAGTATTTACTTAAAGTGAAAAAAAAAGGTATCATTAGTGAAAGAGTTGATCATGAGATTAGACAAACTATTTCTAGTTTTTTTTGTATACTATATTGTTTATTAAATATTCATAAAAGCAA